GTCAAGTCTCCAAGACGACAGATATAAAACCATGTAAAATAAATCCCCTGACACCYGGTCGAGGAAAACTGGAAACAAAGTCCCAGGATCCCTCTGCTAGTAGTAAAAAACAAGTATGCTGGTCTGACATACTGACACCTCATCGAGACATGGATCAAGTAAAACCAAAGGTAACAAGACTGGTATAATACGAWAGACCTCTTCACCTTGGRCGTAATGTTGTCTCATTTYAGACCAAGTGTMATTCCCTAGAGTATCATTTATTTGTTTAACGGTTGCGCAYGAGAAGACACATGAATATGGATACAACTCAAACAAAGAAGCTTATATTCAAGAGAATGAAACATAGGCTGACATGGGAAAACATTACGCCCAAGCTAAGAAGGCCTGCTAAAAATGTCAGTGATATATCAGTACTACCTGTWGCATGGTCGGACCGCCGGCGACTAAACCGGCTCCTCCGCTTGCTATCCAGTGACGAGGATGGTTGGACACCCAGCAAGATTAAAAATAAGACTTGTGTAGTGGCAGCCAAATGCGTCCATGTAAGCGCTCAGTCTACCACGGTTTGTTTGTGTTATAAAGAGCTTAGAACAGATTTGGATATAGGAACTGTATAAATGTTATTATTATATAAATATTATGACAAATTTGGTACTTTCAGTGTCTTTTTTACAGCGCAACGCGCAAAAGTATGACCACATTTAATATATTCGCATTCTTCCATGCACGTTTTCTCTACGTTAAACCGAAACCTTTCGATTCAACGTTGGCTAGTTTGACCAAATAAGGCGTTCAAAAGGCTCGTTTGGCAGGAAAAGCCCGTGCATATAGAAGTATGCGAAGTAGTGCTCTCAGTTTTTGTYTCACTTGTTTCTTTCCTATTTTCCTAAAGGACGTGATTCTCACAGCTCCGAAGGAACATTCTGAAAGAGTAAATTCTCTTACAAGTAGTGAATTAGCAGACTTCTCTCCATGGATGATGAGTGCCACCAAACCTCCTTACCCAWGCACGCGAGAGTCCCCAGCGGATGATGATACAGTCACAATAAAGTTATTCTCTGACGATGATACAGAAGAAGAGACAAAACAAGGCAGAAAGGAGAAGGTAAAATAGAAATAATTGACTGCACCAGTCAATAAACCATGCATTTGAAAAACATTACACTTAGTTTTATTAT